CCCTGGCCCACAAATTACACAGCACTGGCTCTCTACAACTTCCAACTTGGCTCTGCAAGGTGCCTGAGCCAAGGGTGCACAAGGTTCCCCGAGGGGTGGTGGTGATGCATTCCATAAGAATGGAAATGGCATCCAGCCCCCCTTCTACTGCAACTAGGAGTGCAGGACAAATTTTCCAGAGTCACATCCTAACGCTCTCCTTCACAATCCAGTAGCAATATTGGCTCACCTGGGAAAATACGGGAAGGAAAGGAAAAGAAGAGACTTTCACTTGTAGCCTCCTGTGGGTAAAATGCTTAGCAAGGTTTGGAAGTAGAACACTGCTGAGAACTAGAGCAGAGTGACCCATCACTTGCCAGTCTGCCAGCAGGACAAGGAGCTTCACAGCTCACATCTGAATCTTGTAATCTCTGTTTGCATTGCAATCGATGAAGTCCCTTAGGCTAAGACCACTAATTTAGCCAGTCCTGATCTTCCTGTACATCAGCTGAAGAGAAAAGTGGTAGAATACCAAGAAGCTCCTATTTTACAGGAATAGGGTAGAAATTCAGTGCCTTCCCCAGAGCCACTGCAAAGCAAGTCTGCAGTGTCAGTGGGAACAGAGTGTGAGATAACACCTTGGGGAAAGAAAAAAATGATACCACTACATGCTGGTAAAGATCAGGACAACTGAATTTTAAAGAGAGCAGTGGGTTCAATATAAATTCTCTATTCCAATCCTCCAGGACCTATTTTTCCCTACAGATGTGTAACTGCCTGATGACACAGAAGCAAGGTTTCATGTAAAAGTCCAAGCCAAAGTTACCCTGGAAGGAAGTACTTGAGAGACAAGTGCTAATAGTAAAATGACAGGTTGGAATGGCAAAATAATACACAAGATCATACCTTGGGTACAAGCCCTCAAGGGACACTGGCTGCGGGATGCAAGAGCAGCAGTTTGCAAGTCAACCGTTTTGGAAAAAGTTTATTTTCTTTGTCTCTCTTCATGCTTCACAGCTAATGCCTCTCTCTCTTCCATGACTCAAAAATTTATTGGCATTGCAAAATAGGGGTCTTTGCCTACCCCTGTTCTGCAGGGCTGCCATGGAAGCTCTTGGCCAAGGAGATGAGAACTCTCAGTAGCAGCAGGATTTCAACTGCTGACAGGGGCCAGCAGAAAACAGAACCTAGAACCAGTTCAGCTCCAGGGAGGAGAAGGAGGGCTACTCTACATTCAGGCAGAAGCAGATTCTATTCAGCCTGGCATTTACAACCACGTGTAAGAGGGTGGCAAAAGAAATCCCTCAACACAGGCTGCAAGGGAGTGCAGAAAGCCATAACACTTTTAGATTTATAAAACAATGGATGGAGGAAGCACAGGACAAGGAGGAGCAGAAGAGGATTTTTGTTTGACAATACCATGAATTGGGCTGAACCTCTAGTGGCAGCAAAGAGACTTCTGGGCAACAAAACCACCTGCATCTAACAGGCATCTAACATCTGCAACTCCTCCCTTCTGCTCAGCATTCCTTTGAAACACAGGTTAGAATCTGACCCTGTTTTGATCAGAACTTTGCCTCAAATCATTATTGGTTCAATTTGGTTTTCTGAAATATCTTGGAATCTAAAGCATCTACGAGCAAAGTGTAAATAAAGGGCCACATCTTAAACCTGAACTACAGACACGCTGCACCAGGGACTGGCCTGGTTAGGCTGTTTAGTCCATTAACTCGCTGGCGGTGGAAACAAATTAGAGGATTTTAAATCTGCCCACTCACTTCCAATAAACTAATGATGATGATGCTCTTCTAACAATTAATTTAGCAGCTATTTGGCATACTTGTTTCTAGATGCAGAATGGACATCTCCCTCCTTGCAGGGCCAGACATGCAGAGATTTGGTTAAGGAACAGAACAGGAAACCAGGTGAACTCGAACAAATAAAATGAGATCAAATCTCTTGGGGAGCACTGGCAGCCTCTCAGACCACAAAATCCATTTGTTGCCCTCCTGTAGGTTGAACAGTTACAACTCCATGCAGTACATTTGGGTTTTATGATGGAGCTTTTTTTTGGTGTAAGAATGCTAATGCTGCCAAAGAGAGGAGAAAGTGAGCTCTCACGTGTGTGACAGAGCCAGCCACCAGTGCAGTGCAGAAGCCAGGGAACATGTATGTGTTTAGCTCCTCAATATCCCACTGTGCAAAGCTCATAACTAGATCACATCAGCCTTTCAGACAGCTTTGAGTACTGGTAACAGGTTGGTCCAATGGACAATATCCAAAGCACTGAGCGAGCTTGAAAGAAACACGCAGTGCAAACTTCAGCACTGTACAGGGTGATGAAAACAAAGCAACTGAGCAAAGAGCCACAGGAGGTGATGCCATTAAACAGTGGGGTAAAGCTAACGCTGTTCTGCACAACACTGACTCAACACCACCCTTCATCAAGGAAAGAAGCAAACACCTTCCCTCAGTTAGACTGCTTATAATTTTACTAAAGTCACAGTCTGAAGAAATTAATAGACAAGAACGGTCCATTTTATTCACTCAGGTGAGAGACCTTTATACACTTGCCAGCATTTTCTCTTATGCACTGGCAAAGGCTGCTGGAAGAAGTGCTGGCACTATCAGAATCCAGGAGGAAGCTTCAATCACAACTGCCAGCCAAGGAGGCGTTAACAGCAGCACGCCTGATCCAGAGGCACGCCAACAACATTTCCATCCCTAGTCTAGGCAAGGCCCAAGATAATGAGAGGCTCAGGGTGACACATGAGCCTGATCCAAAGTCATCTGAGGCCAGAAGGGACCTGTAATGGCAGTCCACACACTTTAAAGCCACCTCTCCCAAAAACCTGCAGGAACATTGAAACGGAGAGGTACATGCGGGGAAGGTCATTGCTTTATCCATCTGAACATTTCATGTTCAGCCTCTTGAAACTTCTTCTGACCTGCCTCAACACAAAGGTTGTTGAGATCTTGTCCTCATCCTCCACTGTAATGTTGTAAATCATTACAGAAGTGCCCAGACTTGCTGTCAGCTCTCATCTTCTAATAACCAACTGCCCTAAACAAACTACCTGATGGACAGAGAAAGACTGACTAACATACAGGAGAAACAGATACATCGTTTGAGTTTTGCTGTTTAAATATACAGTTCTCTTAATACTTAGGTTGTAGCATAAATTTAGCACTCCTCCAGAACTTCAAAGATGACTGGAGCACCAGCACATTCACTTGTAGGCATTCTCTGCAATTGTCCTAGGGAACGTCACATGAACTAGAGAAACATGTCCATCTCCCAAGCATGCTGCTCTCTCACTTTTAACACTGCATCTTAACAGCCAAGTGAAGCAAGGCCAAAATGTATAACTTCACGACATTTCTCTTCTTGAAACAGAAACTTTTGAAGCTGTTTGATAAATTCTAAGCACTTCACAGGAATGCTGCAGGCATCAATGCAAAAAAAAAAAATCTATGTTGACAGTGATTTAAAATAAAAATTAAGCAAGTGAGACTATGAAATACAGAGAGGATCGCCCACGGTGACACGTCATTCCTCTGTACCTCTCGTAACTTCCAGGCTTCAGTCCCACTGACAGGGTTCAGCAGGGAAAACAAGCAAAGGCTGGACTTTGCCAAGCCCAGGACCGCAGCACAAAGGCTTGTTCCACACAGTGAGGAATGCTGTCATGATAAGGAAGACCCTGAATATGACAGTACTGCAGTTTCATCCTGCACTGGGTGTAGCTCTTTGCTCTAGAGAAAGCTCACCTCTATTGCAAGTTCTCAAACATATCCCCTCCCTCTCCAGCTGCAAACCTCTTAAATTCAATTCAGAATCTTCAGAATCCCACACAGAAGCAAACACCTGCGCTTCCAACGCCTTCCCAAGAACTAATCTGAGCCACTGCTGAGCTAAATGGTGGATCTGTGTCTTCAGGTATCAAGTGACAATACTTTGGTTTGTCTTCAACATCGCCCAGGTGGCACCAAGCGGAGCAGGCAACAGAGATACAACTGCTCAGAAGATGCAGAGAAATGGGCTGCAGTGCTCAGCAGCAAACTGGGCTATGACAAATTTGCCTCTGATGCTAGCACAAGTGCAGGGCTGGAGACCACATCCCTGCTTTATCAACACTGGCTTGGCACATACTTCTTTACTTAACCCTTGTCTCCTCTACTAAACAATGACTTATGAAATAAATCCACAAGGGACAGAGGTCCACTGGTCAGAACAACCCTCACACCTGGGAAGCCTCTGCCCTACTCCAACACAAGCTTCCCATACAACCCCGAGCTTGTCATCCTATCTCAGTTCCCCACACCCCTCTCAAGCGGCTGTGCAGGTGGCTGGGGAAGGGAGCAGCCTTTCCCTTCCTCACAGATATCTTTAACCACGTAACATTAAAAAATACCTTGAGCAGAGCCCACACAGGCCTGTAACACGCATAACACTGTATTTACTCAGAGCCAGTATCTCTCTGAAGTGTTTCTGCAGGACGTGCCTAACGATGAAGCCACCTCTTCGCACAGGCACAAACTCCCAGTCCTCGCCCGACTCCCACCAAAAGCGCTCCCAGGAGCGAGCGAAGCGGAGCGCGGCACGTGCACAAAGGGGCCAAGCCCCAGGCCGAGCCCACCCACCCGCAGGATGCTGCTGGAGGCACAGCAGCCCCAAGCGTCGGCAGAGCCCGGCGCCGCTCGGCGAGCTCGGCACGGCCGCGCCTCCCGCCCCTCGCCCAGCTGTTTGTTCCCAAGGGACCCTCCCGGGAGACCCCCGGCCCTGCCGGTGCTGGGCGGCCCCGGGGGGCGGCCCCGCTCCAGGCCCCGCAGCCCCCGCACGGCCGGTCCCGCCGGGCCGCCCTGCCCTGCCCTGACCGGAGAGCGGCCCCGCGCCGCTCCCGCACCGTGCGAGCCGGCCCCGCCCCGCGCTGCCCGCGGTCCCCGCCGGCGGCACCGCACACAAAGCGCCCGCAGCCACGCTCCTCCCCGCGGGCGGGCGGGCGCGGCGCGGGCGGTACCTGGGGGCGCGGGCCGGGCGGGCGCTGTGCCGCTGTGCCGCTGTCCCGTCCGCCGCTGTCCCGCTGTGGCCCCGTCCCCTCAGAGGCGGCGGCGGCGCCGCCCGCTCCGCTCCATGGCCGCGCGCGCCGCTCGCCACGGGAAGAATGGGGGGCCCAGCGCGCACGCGCCGCCCGCGGCCGCCCCGCCCCGCCCCACGCGCCGGCGCGGCGCCGCCCTGCGGGCCCCGGTGCCGCGGTGAGGTCAGCGCGAGGCCTGCGCATGCGCGGGGGAGGGGGGCCGTTACCGCGCGCGCCCCGTCGCCATGGAGACACCGCCCGGCGGGAGCGCCGGGAGCGGGAGCGGTTCCCGGGAATGCCGGAGCCCCGGGAGCGAGAGCGGGGACTCGCGTTCCCGGGAATGCCGGAGCCCCGGGAGAGGGGGGACTCGCGTTCCCGGGAATGCCGGAGCCCCGGGAGAGGGGGGACTCGCGTTCCCGGGAATGCCGGAGCGCCGGGAGAGGACTCGCGTTCCAGGAATGCCAGGGCCCGGGAGGGGGACTCGCGTTCCCGGGAATACCGGAGCACCGGGACTCGCGTTCCCGGGAATGCCGGAGCCCCGGGACTCGCGTTCCCGGGAATGCCGAAGCCCCGGGAGCGAGAGCGGGGACTCGCGTTCCCGGGAATGCCGGAGCCCCGGGAGAGGGGGGACTCGCGTTCCCGGGAATGCCGGAGCCCCGGAGAGCGGGGACTCGCGTTCCCGGGAATGCCGGAGCCCCGTCCCTCCTGATCGGCCCCCCACTGCTCCAGGCAGTGCCGTGCCCCGGGCTCCTGGGTCCGACCGTGGAGAAGCTCAATTCTGGAATGTCTCCAGTGAGGGAGACTCCACAGCCTCCCTGGGCAGTGTGTTCCAGTCTCTCACACGATAGAGAAGTTCTTCCTCATATTCAGGTGGAACTCCCTGTGCATCAGTTTCTGCCCGTTGTTTCTTGTCCTGTTGTTCGGCTCCCCCGAGCAGAACCCGGTCCGTCCTCCCCACCCCACCTCCCACTTTAGCTACACATTGATGAGGTCCTCTCACTCTTCTCAAGGCTGAACAGCCCCACCTCTCAGCCTTTCCTCCTAAGAGAGATGCTCTAGTCCCTAAATCATCTTTGCTGCTCTTCACTGGACCCGCTGGATGCTCCAGGAGCTCCACGTGTCTGCTTTGTGCAGCCTTAGTTAAAAAGGTGCATTTAAAAGCAACTAAATCTTTCTCCTACACGGAATGAGTTGCAGTGCTACCACTGTGTACCTGAGGTGAGAATGGGAAACAAATGCCCTGTGCAGAGGCTCTTTGCCAAGACACGTTTGACAATCTTCCTCCCTAGGCTCATGACTGCTGCTTTCGTGGTGGTGTAGGGAATGAACCTCCATCTCCCCTTGAACCACCACTGTCTCGTCCTCTGCAGCCGGCCTCCCCAGGTGACACTGTGGTTCCCAACAAGCCTGTAGCCTGAGCCATCAAAACAGTTCATAGGGGAGAGCTGTATGTGGAACAAATGGTTCATTTTCATTCATAACTTCTTGAAATAATAATGCCCTTCTCCTTGGCTCATAATTTTGGCAAAGAAATTGCTTTTGGCAAACCCTCTCCCAAATAATCCTAGATTCTCCAATTTGTTCCTTTCCTCCCTCAGGTTTCAGAGCAATATATAAACTGCTGCTTTGAGCAAAGCTGCACGTAAGTTCTGGAACAGGCTGCACAGATGTCAAGAGAAAGCTGGGGATATTAGTGCTTAAAAGGATGCCAGCTCTGGGTAAACTGAAAGCAGGTGATTACAAACCAGCTTTAGAAATTACCATGATTCTCACCCCCAGGCAGCAGCTAATCTCCTGAGAGCCCTAACTAGCTAAGCACTACCCACGGCAGAGACACAACAGCTCTGCTTCACCTATTGTGGCTTCCCAGAGCCAGTGTTACCATCGCTCTGCACCTGGAGGAGATGCAGTCCCTGTGCCCAGTGCTTTCCCTCCCTAGCTGGGCAGTTCTGCAACCAGGACTCCAGTTGTTTTCCCAGCTCTCGTTTTGCAGTCTCCCGACAGCAGCTGATGACCGAGGTCATGGGTACATTAATAAAAGACCAATCCTTCCACTTCATCTGGATCTGCTACAAAGTTCTCTCAGACACTAGATAGTTCCCTCTGTTCCCAAAATACCATCACAGTCCATTTTGAGCAAGAAAATTAGATAAAGACTGAATAGTTCTAAGTTAGCTGAATTACAATAAGCAATATTTAATTTTATTTTAGTAAGAAGTCAATAATTGTGTATCACATTTGCTGTGAATTCATTCTCTTCAGTATTGCAATACGGAGGCATTTACTTTGGAAATTCCCTAATATTCCTTCTGATATAATTGTATGTTTGCCCTTTCTTCACAGATTCTTACTTTTGGTGATTTTACAGTCACTGTTTGGCAACCTAAAGTAAAGAAATGCTGAGAAATACAGCTGGCATAGTTTTTAAGTATTTTTTTTCTCCCCTCCTAGGTAACACTTGCATAGAAAATATGTTTTGTTTTTTTTTTTTTTACTTGCAAGACTTCAGGAGGCAACTGCACAACACTTAAAAGCTTCCTCACTGTGCAATTAACAAAAAGATTGTGTTTTCTATTTTTATTATAAAACAGGTAAAGTCTCTGCACAGAAATAAATTTGTCACCTAATCAGCTCTAATGTCTCGATTTTTTTCCCTCTGTTGTTATGTGACTGTTTCCTTGGCTCCTTTCAAAGACCTTTAGAACAGTTTCTGCCTATATTTAAGATAACCAAATTGTTCCATGAGCAGCACCACCAGTGATGCCTGGTTTCTCCCAGATCTGTGTCTTTTGTCCCCCCAGTCTGCCCTGTTCCCTCAGCAGCCCTACCTTCCTGTGAGAGTCCCCTCCAAGGGGACACAGGCAGCACAGTGTGTGGTTATCCAGGGCTGTGTATACGTGCACATCGAAGGACAGCCCTCTGCCAAAGGGATCACACCATGCCTGAGCTCCCCTCCTGCCTTCCCCTGAGGCTGCCAATGGTTATTTCTCTCTTCCAGTTCTCATGAAATTTGAGATTCTTTCCTCCCCACTAAATGTTGAGAAGGAAAAAGGAGGGGGCTAGTCTGACAGCTGAATAAGAGCAGACAGACAGACTGATCACATAAGCCTCGTTTTCATTGGAAAAAGAAGTCCAAAATAATCATAACTTGCAAGCTTTCTTCAATTTTTTTAAAAAGGAGGTGAAGGCATTGTTCTGATTCTTGCCCTTTAGGTTTCTTAACATTTAATCTCAGTATTCTTCAGTTCTGCTCAGATGAGGTTCTTGATTACCCTGCACAGTCCACTGACTTTCCCAAGGACATCCATCTACTTCAGTTCCAGCACACCTATGATAAATCTGCACATCCATTGCCTGTGATGGCTCTCAGGGAAAACCCACCATGAAGGCACATCAGGATACCCCAAGGGCAACCAGATCTAAGCTTCTGGATGGAATCCAATCTACAGGGACAATTCAGCTTCCCCAAAGTTACTGTTAGGTAACAACTATGCTATTGCTAACCAGTCCTGGGGGATTTATCCTGGGCTGTAGAAAGGACTCTAAACGAAGGAAACAGCAGTAACCACTGGAGGAGCAGCTACCATCAAACGTGACTGCTTGACAAGGCCTTCACTGCCAGTGGCTCAACAGCAAGCATTTGGCAGTACCCTTACACATAACATACTTAATAAAAGGTACTTTTTACTACGCCCTCATTTCTGAAAGATATCCACTTACTCACCTCTCTCACACATGGATCTCCAAAACAAACAGACTAGTGCAGCAGAAAGGTAGGAACATCTGTCTCCTGAGAGGATACTGTTCCCAGTGAGGCAGCATGTACCTCTCTAATCAGTCCACCTGCAAAGTACTTTGTCCCCTGCTTGTTGAGCAGGTGTGTGCCTACACACGTGCAAAACAAGTCCACCTGCAGGATGAAACACAAGATGAACTTAGGGACATCTGCAGCAAGGGCACAGAAAGCTTTAAGTAAGGGCAAAGCAAACCAAGAAAACTTTTTAAAATAAAGAAAAGTAAAACTAGCTTTCAATTACCCACTCTGCTCTTTTGAACAAAGGCCTATCAATAAAACAGAACTAGTGGGAAGTAGATGGATGGACTGGCTCTATTTCAGCAGAAACACTGACTATGCCTGAGTGATTTGTCTTCTCCTTTCCTTCAGGGCCCTTTTGCACAACATCTGCTCAGGAACCTGAGGGCTGAGCGCTCCAAGGAGAAATGTGTTTATTTAAGAATGACAGTATGATGATGTAGCTGCCCATGATGGCATCAAACCCTGGCTGTCCCTGAGCTGCTTCTCTAGAGTTGAGCACACTGCCATGCAGACTTAGAAAGCCACATTTCCTTTATATGCTGTCCCAGCTTGACTACTTGCAAGGCTGAGGGGAAGAACAGCTTCACTTGACTCGATGCAGCATTGCATCTCTCCCTTTGCCATCTCCTGGCACTTAAATCCCCTGAACACATCACCTGAACAGACTTGTGCAGTGCTAAGGAGAAGGCTGGACTGCTGCTGGAAGATAAATACCATGGGCCAACACAAGGAGAAGCCCATGCACCCAGCTCCTGAGTGCTGTTGATCCTACTCTGGCATAGGCTCTTTCTGTGACTCGCCTCTTCTACCACTCACCTGTGAAACACGGAACGAACTCCTCATCCATCCCTGTGTGAGAACAAACACTTGAAACAGGGAAAGTACTAGTACTTCAGATCAACATTAAATTTAGTGATTCCTCGTTCTTGCCTTCGCACATGACAGTTGTCACAGCCCCAGATTTGAGCACTTTCAGCTCACACAATGTGCTCCTGCACCGCTATCTTTAATTGGCACTTTCCTGCCAAGCCTCAGCGTTTTGCATCGGACTTTTTCCACGTGAGAGCTGCCACGAACAAAGCATCCCACTGACCCACTTAACTCCCACGTGAAGGCACATGAAGCTGCGCTTCAGTCACCAAACAGAAAAGAAAACGCAAAAGCAGAAGGCTTTGATTAAAGGGAAGTGAGCAAATGGCTTCAAGGCTCATCGTGTGCACATGGGCACGTCTGCGTGTGTTCACTTCTTGCAGGCATTTGGCC